AAAGCTTGTCAATTAGAGTGTCTGTGCTAAATAAGGCTAATAGAGTGGTCTGTAAGTGCCCAATACCTAGCTTTTGATGTCAATAGGGTGTTGAATATAGCAGCCCATCCAGTTCATGTCTTTGTCCAAACCTTGCTTAAAAGTGTCAAATTTGCAAATAAAGACAAGTTCTGCAGCTTCGCTCTCCAGCTGGTTTTTTAAATTGCTTTGTAAGAGTATAGTCACATATAGATCTATTAGTGAGTGCCCGGGCAATTTAAAATGTTCCCCAATAGGTTTGTGTATGTTACCATTTCGAATATCTGATTTGTGTCCATTAATCCTTTCTCATAGAGACTGTTCAGTTTGGCCAATATAAATGGCAGAGGGGCATTGCTGGCACTTGATGGCATAGCTCACATTAGTGGATGTGCAGTTGTATGAGCCTCTGATGTGGTGGCTTATGTAATTGGGTCCTGTGATGATGTCACTTGTATAAATATGTGGACAGAGTTGGCCGCAAACCACAACTGCTCTCAGAGAAGATAGTGGCCACATATGCTTTGCGGGCATGAGCAGCTGGCAACCAAGTTGTTGGGGGAGGCTACCCCTGGACCTTCCCATTCTGTGCAAGGCCCTGCTCCTTTCCATCAGCCTGTCCCTCCAAAAGAGCCCCAAGCACACCCACTGTGGCCACAAACTCCAGCACTTTGGATCTGGTGCTCCAGGTGGATAGATAGTGCAGCTAGCCCTATCACCCTGTCTACCTCCAGCAGGGAGGCCAGCCAGCCCAGGCCCACCAAGGCAGAGAGCAGGGAACAGCAGGAGGGGGCCTACCCTAGTGGCAGAGCATGGTTGGGGCCACACTAGGCTGTTTGGGAAGGCACAGCAACACCTACCCATGTTTGAGGAGTCAGAGGCACTTGATACAATTGAGAACAGTGAAAGTGAGAGAAGATTGCTTTTTCAAAATGGCCACCCACCGAAGACAGCTGTCTCTTCAGTTCTGCCTAGAACAATGGGAGATGGAAGATGTTTTGAAAGATGTTTTTGTGGAATTTCCTAGCTGAACATTGTGTCTTTCAACCTCTGCTGAAGGAGAAACTTTCAGTTATAAAGAATAAAAAGGGAAATGACTACTAATCTTAAAAACATTAAATAATAAAATGAAATAATTAAAAATAATAATCAAGTGCAGCTCATGCAGAAAATGTGTGAGTTTTAACTACACGTGAAGTTCAAAGAGTGGGTTATTCTGATACCAAAATAATTAGGAATAATAAAAAGTCTAAGATTGGTTGCTAACTTTTTAAAGGTCCTACTTTTAATTAATTTTAATCCCTAGACTAAGACATTTACTTGTAAATTCTTAGAACCGGGGGAAGGAAACAATATATTTTAAATAAGGAGCAAAAATGATTTTGGGGGGGGGCTTTAAGTGCAAGAGTCAATATTAATTATGGGCCAAACACTATCCATGCCTCCATAACATATTACCTAAAGTTCTGGACCATCTGCATACCTGATTATGGAAGATAACTGATTATGTTACACTTGTCTCATCCATGGGAGTGGAGGAGGGAATACTAGACTAGGTATAGCACTCTCATTACAGGGCATATGGAAGGCTATTAGATCTCTTAACTGCATTTCCAAACCTTGAAATGTTTGGATTTCTTTTAAATATAACTCTAACTCTGAATTTCCAGGGTTGGTAATATTTGGTTCTTAGTTAATTTACAACATCATAGCAATAGTGGTTTAAAAAAAAACCTCCTAAGTTACTGTAACATACTTTCAACCTTAATTCCATCTTGATGTAATATTTTGTCTGGCAATTAATAATGGAACATCCTCATCCAGCAATGAAATGCTTCCAGCACACAGAGGCACAGCCCAGAGGCAAGGAAACAAAGGTGTACTTAAGAGGCTCGGGGTCTGAAACAACCACCCTTCTCTTACACTGCCACCACTATAAGTAGCCAGCCAAAGGAGCTGATCCAAGGCACAACAACAAAGTTCCTGTGGCCTATGGGCAGCTACACAATACCTCCATGGTGCTATGTTACAGCCCCCGCTCCACCCTGGCATGGCCCTTGTGATATTCTCCATCTGCCAGCTAAGGAACTCTTTCACTCCCTATTCCACTGCAGAGCCTGTGTTGGGAGCTAAAATCCCTCTTTTGTTTTTGGATTTGTGGTCTTCCATCTTAGTACTGACCAGATCCAACCTTGATAGCCTCTCATATCTAAGACTAAAGGTCTACAGCTGTAGTCACATACGGTATGTTACTGACAGGTCTTTATTAGCCAAAGTTAAATAAATAAGAAAATAGGGAGGAATCACAGAAGACTAGGGTTGGAAGAGACCTCAAGAGGACATCCAGTCCAACCCCTTGCTCAAAGCAGAACCAACCCCAACTAAATCACCCTAGCCAGCGCTTTGTCAAGTCTGGCCTTAAAAACTTGTAAGGATGAAGATTCCACTGTCTACCTAGGCAACTCCAGTGCTTCACCACCCTTTCCTAATAATTTGCTGCATTACGTCCCAGAGTAGAAAAAAGTGTTCATGGAAATAATTCTGAATTGAAGCAAAGGAAAACTGCTCAGCTTCCAACTCTGACAGTCTCTCTCTCTCTCTTCTCTCTCTCTCTCTTTCTTTCTTCCCTCCACCCATTACTTTAGGTCTCAGCGAAAAACATGGCCAAGCCTCAGTGGAACTCATTTTCACCAATGAGGAGTAAGAATGAATCCTGGGCATCACTACTGGAGATTTGAACCGACGCAGGTTGCAATGAAATGAGCACAGGAGTGGCAAAAAGAAAGGGCAAACAGAAGCTCACAAATGAGCATTTGAGATGTTTGACAGGAAAAGATTATGTGAGAAGTGGGTCTTAGGCTGACAGATGTTCCTATTTTAGAAATGTTCTATGTCATTATCTAAGTCATTGATGTTGAACAGAACCTGTCTCAAAACCGATGCCCACAGAACCCCGCCCATTATGCTCTTCAAGCATGATGGTGAACCATTGATAACTACTCTCTGAGAATGGTTATCCAGCCAGTTATTCATCTACCTTATGGTAGCTCCATGTAGGTTGAATTTCCCTAGTTTGTTAATAAGAGGGATATGAGTAATGATATCCTCTGCTCTACGTTCTCCTCCTAGAACTGATCCTGATACTAGAGTGAAGTAGCTTGGAAGCTTTGCATTATCACTCTCATTATCATGGGACTGATTTTCCCTAAATTCCCTCTCCGGCATCTCTCCTTTTACCTTATTGTTATCTGCCATGCACCTGTGCTATAAAGCATCAGGCTCCAAATGGAGCATTATTCAATTAACCACCTTTTATGCCATAGGGTATGTCTACACTGCATTCCTCTTTTGAGAGAGGAATGAAAATGCAGCTGAGCGAAATTGCAAATGAAGCGCAGATTTGAATTTCCTGTGCTTTATTTGCATAATCGCATCTGGGCGCTATATCGAAATACCCTATTTCAAAAAAAGAAATGCTGTCTAAACGCGGTTATTTCAAAAGAAAACCCTTCTTTCGAAATTACCCTTACTCCTTATAAAATGAGGTTTAAGGGTAATTTCAAAAGAAGGGTTTTCTTTCGAAATAACCGTGTCTAGGGTTGGACAGTGTTTCTTTTTTCAAAATAGGGTATTTTGAAATAGCGCCCGGATGTGATTATGCAAATGAAGGGCAGGAAATTCAAATCCACACTTCATTTGCAATTTCACTCAGCTGCATTTGTATTCCTCTCTTGAAAGAGGAATGCGGTGTAGACATACCCATACTGAAAAGTGGCATACTAGTAGTGTATATGAATAGAAAAAAACTAGAAAAGTAGATGAGCTTGAAATATATTGGGAAGGTAAAGCTACTGAACCAATCAGAAGTAAAAGATTATTCCACTGTATAAAAGTTAAGTCCAATACAGTGGTGGAAGTGACCAAGACCATTACTCCAAGATCCACAAGTCACATGAGATAGATGTTTGTGACATTGCTTTAATGAGTTACTGGAAGATGCTCAGATGCTGTGGTAATGAGGGAGGAATAAGAATATAGAATAGAATAGAAGTGTTCAGTTTTTCAGTGATTCACTCCACTGGGATAATGACATTAAAAGTTTGTCAGTAAACACTGTTGGTTTCATGGAGGTGGAATCCCATTGTCATAGTGCCAGAAACAGACCTTTGGAACAAAGCGACTCTCCCATGTATCTAGCTAAGATGTCACTTGAGCTGTTGGAATAAATTGAACTTTTCACAATTCAGCAGAATCTAGTTCTTGTTCAGGTGCTCCACTACCTGCCCTGAACATGTGCCCTCTGGAATAGCTGGGAAAAAAATGTGTTTAAAAATATATTTTTCTTTCTTTGTTTTTAGTGCCACAACCACTGACTCCAGCTCCCTGGTGCATACTAAGGTATTGTGATAGATAGCCCCTATGCCACGTGACCTACACTCAGCTCTGCAGGGGCAGATGACCATTTTGCGGGGCCCAGGCAGCACAATTTCGCGGGGCCCCCCTTTGCTACGGTGCATGCACGGGGCTTCTTGAAGCGTGGGGCCCAAGGCGGCTGCCCCGCTTGCCCTGCCCTATATCCGCCCCTGCAGCTCTGCATTATAAAGCAGTACAAACAGGAATGACAAAAATGTGGCTCACAGAATTCTATATTGTGCATGGTAAATTCCTTTATCCTTAATGGGAGGTAGTTCTTGTAGAGTCCATACTTTACAGCATACCATGCTTTAGCTTGATCCTAACAGCCTGGCTCCTGAGATCAAGATGGAACACCGGGTCTGTAGTTTCTGTATTCCATGCTGCCATCTTACATGAGAGGTTGTGATCAGTTCAATTGATTCGTGAGTAAATGTGGCCCATGTACTCCCAGCAAGTAGCAAATGTGGCCTTTTGTTATACAAGATTTGGGCACTCCTGCAGCATGGGATGTTCAGTCAACTAGGGCACTCTACTGGCTGACCATTCTAGCCTTTATAAAAACAAGGCTCAGGTGCCTCTAGGCTCTTGTAAGGTTTATGTTGGATTCTACCATCACAACGTTGCCATGGACAGAGGGAGGAAAGCTAAACCGACCATTTAAACTTTATGATTTTTTTTAATTTTGATTTAATGTTTTATTCCATAGAATAAGGTTTCAGATAAATTGTAGGGGATTTATTGGATGGTTCTCTGACTGAACTATTCACAAAGCACCTTGAAGGTGTCTTCTGGAATTAGATAGAGAGTATTGGTTAATCAAGGGGCATTTACCTTCTTATAGAATATGAATGGTGTGCACATGATAGCCAACCCAACTGGAACTGTGACTCCCAAAAACAAGGGGCAGCATCTACCTCAGGTAAGAGGTGGTAATTTTCTGGAGGAGAGAAATGCAGCACATTCTTGCTGCTTTCCGATGCTTACTTGTCAGTAGCTTCCCATGCAATCTTTACCCCTGCAAGTTCAGAACATATGACAGTTAGACCTATGCTGGTTCCTGAGATGGTTTCCACTTTTAGTTTCTGCCTTTACAACCCTATTACATCTTTTGGGCTTCTTTAGTGTAGCTAAATGGTAAGAGAAGGTGTTCCTCAAAGGCTGTTCCCATAGGCATTTAGTGCCATATATCCCATGCTGTGGCTGGATAGTTTCCATTTCTGTTTCACTGTTCCACTTTGTTTCCCCAAAGGTCCCTCTGGAGGTAGCTCTACACAAACATTAATTTTTCTCATAGATTTCTAGCTAAAGCCAAACATAAGGCAGCAGAAACTGTTTCAGCATCTTACAGACAGCTCTATCAGTCCCTATTTCCAATATCCCTGCACTTCCTCTCCTTTGACAACCCACCACACACATGCCCTCCCCACACACACATGCATACAGACACTTCCACCAATATACCCCAATCCTGATCTGCATTTCCTACTTCCAATGCCTGAGGTTGAACTTTGGCTATGTGTATATACTGCTTTCATGCACAAACAGATCCCAACACAGGTTAGACGCCAATCAACACATTTATTTGCATATATGGCTCAAAAGGGATCTATACACATATCTTTAGAAAAGCTACTGCATTGCCTGTGCCATTCAGCATCTCTCATACCCATGTTCTATGGTCACAACCAAACTCTTTCCAGTTTTGACCTAATACAAATTTGAACTAAGGCTTTCATGAGAGAGACTACAGAAGGGATGATTAAACCAATAGCACCACCAGACTCCTCAGGGGGAAGTAAGCCCATGAGAAGCCAATAGAATTATACTGTTGCAAATGAATCCGGCTTCTCTGGTGCTCGTGCTTTTTTCCTGATCCTACAGTACAGGCTTTTTATTTTCTCCCTTCCCTGTGCTACAAGTGACAGGACTCTAGGGGTACGTCTAAACTACATGGCTCCGTCGATGGAACCATGTAGATTAGTTTACTCGAAAAAGGGAAATGAAGAGGCGATTATTTAAATTGCCACTTCATTTGCCTTTGTCGTCCTGCCTCATCTATATGGCTCTGTTGACAGAGCCATGGAGTCTAGAAACACCCTAGGTGTGGTACCTTATTATTTTCAATATAACAACTTGATTTCAAGAACTATTCACTGCCAGCCACCACATGAAACGTCTTTGTGTCATACTGTTTCTTGTGGCCACATTTTCATCTACCTCTTTTCTGAGACATATGCTAATTGCTGTGCAGTACGTATTACAGCTATCTTGCACCTTTCCCCCCTCCTAATATTAGATTGCCCAGTGTGAGGGTAAAAAGTCTGCCAGGCATTGCCTGGAGGCTTCTAACATGCCTCAAAGATTATATGTTCTTAAAACTGAAATTATAGAATCTACTCCTCCCAGCTCATAACGGTTTCCTGGTATCCAGTTAAGATCGGATTGGATTGGAATAGGGCCAAACTCTAATCAGAAGTCTGATTATAGTTTACCCTGCATTTTGGCTTTAGATCAAGCAGTTTGGGGTTACTGGCCAGGTCTCTAGTTCTGATCCCAGTTAATTCCCATGGAGCATAAGCTGCCTCCTCTTACCCAGGCAGGTTATTTCTTTATAACCCATAGACATCTTGGCACTCAAAGTCTCCCTCGCTGGCCCAGGCAAGACTGTTGGTAGTGTCTAATACGCTTTATGGCATGTGTTTCTTTTTTACAGACTCAGATACTTGTCCTGCCTCCTAAACCCAAAGACCTGGACTTGAGCACTAAATATCAGTACCAGTCCAGGCACGACCATATGATCTGCAAGTGCCTCTCATTGAGCATCTCATATGCTGCAACCATTGGGGGACTGACCACCATCATAGGGACCTCCACGAGTCTCATCTTCTTAGAGTACTTCAATAAGTAAGTGATACTGCAGAGTCTCTGATATTACAGTAGGGACTTGTGCTGAAGTGGCTATCATCACCTTGATGATCCTATCAAAGAGTTACTCATGTCTAGTGGAAACCCTGCAAGACGTTTGCTGTAGAGATAATTTTGCTTTTATCTCAGATACTTTCTTTTTATATATGCTTTCTCCCCTAAGTCTTTATTACTAAGCTTCAGAGGGGTAGCCAAGTTAGTCTGTAACAGGAAAAACTTAAAAAAACAACAAATAGATCAGTAGCACCTTAAAGACCAACAAAACATGCAGATGGTATCATGAGCTTTTGTGGGCGCAACCCACTTCTTCAGATTACAGGAGTATTAGAAGCCCGGATCCAAGAATAAATAAGGAAAGGGGAGGAGGGGGAGAGAAAAAAAGAGAGAAAAAGGAGGGGGAAAGGAGAAAAAAAGAGAGCGAGACAGTGAGTATGTGGTTCCAACAATTACAACAGGCTGATAAGAACAACTAGCACCGCCATTGTTTGGTTGGTAGTTTAAGTCCTAGGATGTGGAAGGTAGTGTGTGACCCAGCCAATGTCCTTGTTCATTTGCATAAGAATTAAACATGTAAATGAAGTTAAGTTCCAATCCTTCTCTGTGTATTTGGCTTGTGGAACTGGCCTGAAACAAAACAGTTACTTGGAGATCCATTAATGAGTGTCCAGGTAGATTAAAGTGTTCTTCAACAGGTTTTTATGTGTTGCCTTTTCGGATATCTGATATGAGTCCATTAATTCTTTCCTGAAGAGACGGTCCAATTTGGCCAATATACATGGCAGTGGGGCATTGCTGGCATTTGACGGCATAGATCACATCAGTGGATGTACAGTTAAATAAGCTTCTGATGCAGTGGCTGATGTGGTTGGGGCCAGTGATGAAATTGCTTGTGTAGATATGTGAACAGAATTGGCACCAGAGCTGATAGCAGGGGTGGATTCCTGGATGATTATGATGGAGGTGTGTTGTGTGGTTATTGGAAAGAATTTGTTTGAGATTGGGGGTTGTCTGTAAGTAAGGATTGGCCTTTTCCCCAAGGCTTCTGGGAGTGAGGGTTAATTTTCCAGGATAGGTTATAGATTGCTGATAATGCATTGGAGGGGTTTAAGTTGTGGACTGTAGGTGATGACAAGTGGAATCCCGTTGTTTTCTCTTTTTGGCCTGTCTTGAAGTAGTTCATGTCTGGGTACTTTTTTGGCTCTGTCAATCTGTTTTTTTTCACTTCTCCAGGTGGGTATTTCAATTTTATGAATGCTCCCTATAGATCATGTAGGTGTTTGTCTCTGTCTGTGGGGTTTATTACTAAGGATATTTGACTGAAAGCAGGATTTGTATTTCTTATGTGTCCATGTCTAAATGGGAGCTGACCCCTTTTGAAATGATCTAGCCCTATATTAGTATAGTGTATACATATAGATACACAGACGGAATGTTTGTCTGCTTCTTTTATTTTAAAAAAATGCAATACAGGTTGGGCCTCCCTGGTCTGGTACCCATGGGACCTGAACTGTCCCAAATGAGGGAATTTCTTGGCTACAGAGTAGGCCCCTGCCACCGACCTCTCAAGATACTGCCTCTCCCTCTGGCTGGCTCCTCTCCAGTCCCACTGTCACTGGGCTCCAGCCCTGCTGCTCCAGTGATTGGGCTCTAGCACACTGACGCCAGCCAGCTGGGGTTCTCCGGGGTTGGAGCTCCCCAGCCGCTGCAGTCCTGCTTCTGTCCCACCTGGCTGAGTCTTCGCAGGGCTGGGGCTCTGTGGCTGTCCTGCTTCTGTCCCAGCCAGGGCTTTCCAGGGACTAGGCTTCACGGCTGCCCTGCAGCTTCCTGGGGATGAGGCTCACTAGTTGCTGGAAGCCCCACTGCTGCTGTGCCCCACCAGGATGTGGCTCTGCGGCTGCTCCACTGCTGCTGCACCGGGACGGGGCTCCAGGGAGATGGGGCTTGCTGGTTCCATTGCTGCCCTGCCCTGCCAGGGCTCTGCAGGTACAGGGCTCACCAGTCCAATGGGGGGATCCCCTCCACTGGACTCCCTGACTGGCTCACATTCCCAGGCACCGGGGCTCTCTGGTTCAGCAACATTCGTGATCCTGCCAGAGCATAGATGTTGCTGGACCAGAGAGCTCCAGATGTAAGAGGTTCAACCTATACTATTCTGAGGCTCAGAGATAATTTCCCAGAGTAACTTTTGAATGGTTCTTGTAAAACTGATTCTGGGGGTGAGCTCTTATTGGAAGATTTTGATTTTCAAGTATCCTGAAAGAAGATGTATTAGTGCCCCTTGTTATTATCACACTTCCAGCACTTTTTGGTTGCCCTGAGGTGCACTGATAAACAATTTTGCCAGACTCCATCCTGCTGTATTAGTCATTTTATATTTTGTGGCCCAAGACCAGAAGTGTACAGAAACCACATGTGAAATTAACAAGAGTTTCAGTAAGGCGAGGATTTCATTCCTTGTGCTTGCCTGTCCCTCTGAAATTATCTCTACCCTTGTTATCATTTTATTAAAAAGCAATTAACTGTTGAAGCAGTTTGGGATTCAGGACACTATGCAAAACAGCTGTATTGTATTATAATGTCCATTCACAGGTACATTTAATTTCCATCCTCAAACTAACCTATAATTTCCATAGCCATGGTAACTTTTGCATATTACCCAGACTACCCCAAGTATGAATGAATTTGTTTCCATCACAAAATCCTTGGAGAAAAGATGTATGTTATGGAGATGCTGATTTCTATTGAGGTGGAAAGCAGGATATATGGAGCTCTGAGCTTCTTGACTGAGGTTAATCTAGGTCAATATTAATCTCTTTGGATAAAGAATTTGTTTTTCACGGAAAAAATGAAATTAATACATATATTGTGACATGCATTTTGAATCTCTGTTATGCTAGGTCTAATGAATCCCTCCTGTAGTAGCAATAAAAACATTTTGTACCATCAAAACATTTCTACAATACATGTTGAACATCTCTGTGTCCGGCATTGTCTGTTTTGGAAATATCCGTGATCTAACATGGTTTTAGTTAGCCATGTGTCCATCCCTCATGGGTGTGGCCAAATTTCCAGTAGTCCCATAAAGTTTGTTTACAGCCACTAGTCCTGGCTCTCAGTGTTCAGTGCTGTTCTTTAGCTGTAATTTACACCAAAAGGTCTTCTAAGAGCCCAGTAAGCAGTGGAAGTGTTGGTAATGCTGCTAGACAATATTGACCTCCCATGATCTGGCACATTCTCTGGTTCAGTAGGTCAGGTCCCGAGGATGTTGGACTAGAGAGGTTCAACCTGTATATGCAGTAAACGGAACATATTGGTATATGGTATAGTGTTGATATAAGGGCTGATTTGGCATTCATTTGGGAGTGCCTTTGCCATGTGTAATGCAGACCATGGTTATCACAAACCCATGCTAGTACAACCCTTTTACCATACCACATGGCCACAAATGTGTGCATAGCTGCATGTTGAAGGAGTCTTATACAGTTTTATTTTTTCCTTTACAGCCACTATCCAAATGCTGAGGTGGTAAATTTTGGGACTTGGTTCTTGTTCAGCTTCCCCATCTGCCTCCTCATGCTGGTCCTGACCGGGTTCTGGATGCATTGGCTGTTCCTGGGCTGCAAGTGAGTGCAGGTTTCTAGAGCTGTGTGGGAATCCCAGGGCTAAAACAGCAGGAGGTATGGCAGCTTCCTCCCAGTGCTGGTGTGAGTTCCCTGGGCACCGTAAACAGAAATATTTTACCACCCCCACACACTCCCCATTAATAAGGATCCCCTTGAGCTGTTTAGGGTCCTACGTAATTGTTTATTCTGCTTATGCCTAGCGCCTGCTCTGCTGGGGGCCACCATTTGAGAATTCACAAAAGCATTAACAATCACACAAATGTTGGGTCCCCTTTTCCATGGATATGGGTCCCATCCACTCCTTAGAGAAAGTCTCCTTTCCTAGTAGCACTAGATGCACAACAATGGTCTTTACTGATGCTTGAGTCCAGTGGCTGAAAAGGGCTGATGAAAATCTATGCTCCGCACTGTCTTTGTTTTTGACGGGAAAAGTTTTTAATATGGCTGTGCCTTGATCAAGGCCATCAGGGAGCCTTCTGATCAGAAGGGGCAATTAGAAGGGGGAAAAAAAGCCAGTTGGTTAAAACATGCCCAATTCTCCTCTCCCACTGCTGTAAATCAGGAGGGATGCCACTAAGGCAAGGAAGCTTACTTTGGTATCAGACCAATGCAAATAAGAGGGGAATCAGGCTCCGTGGGATCCTAGCTGTACCAATACAAAGTGCCATACTCACAGCCACAGAGACAAAGGTGCTATGTTTATCAACAGAAGAGGTGGCAGGGAGAGTGAAAGCTTTTCCTCGCACCCAGGCTGAAGGGATGTGGAGGCATTCAGTCACCATGACCACAAGACAGTGGCCTCTTTGAGGGACAAAGTGAATTGTGAGGACAAGAGGGAGCTTTGTTACAATCCCTAACATATTTCACACAGGACAATGAATAGCTCTTAAATGATAATGACTTCTGGTGGCTACTGTTCTTGAGAGCATTGAAGAGGTAAATAGCTCTGTAAATAGCTCTGTGTTCTTTTCCCAATCAGTCCCCTGAGTCTTCTAGTTTCCACTTAAAAGGCTGTAATAATTTTTTTTTTTTTTTAATCCTGAGAGGAAACAGGCCCTAACATGACCCTTAGTTTTTAATAAACAGAACTGACATTCCACATTGCAGCCAAGAACTCCCCCTGATTAATGCTGTTCTAAAGAACACCAAGGAACTGGAGCATTATCGACCTTTTGTAAAGTGTTGGTTGGTTCCAAGCCTCTTTAATCTCCAACTCTTGTTCTCTGTAGTTCATAAGAGAATATGTCAGGTTAGGAGTTTGGCTTCAGAGCTCTGGCTGAGTTTCCTTCTAAGCCTTGGCAAGTGATCTTGATAACACATCGAAGCAATGTCTAATTCAGTGCTTGCTGACAGACATCTATGGCAGGGATGGAGAACCTTTTTTGGGTCAGGGGCTGCTGACCCACAGAAAAATCAGTCAGGAGCAGCACACAAGTGAAAAACAAACAAAAAAAATGATCCCTCCCCAAAAAGAAAACTTCAAATCCTCACTGACATGGCCCCCAACTAAGAAGGAGAAAGACATTCACCACATTCCCCTTGCACATCAGAGCCTAGAGGAGCCCAACCTACTAGATTTTGTGCTATTCAGCCTCATGGTGGGGCGTTGAAGGTCTAGAGCACCAGTGTGGGCACTACAATGCTGGGAGGGGTCCTGAGCTTCGGGGGCCAGATCCAGGCAAGCTGGGCGCCACATCCAATCCCTGGGCCTTCGGTTCCCTACCCCTGATCTATGGGATTCTTGGTAATGTGTATGCCTTTCTAATAGGGCTCCCACTACCAATCTTCTGCCCCTAGTACTGTGACTGGAGAAGCTCTCCAGTTTTTCTTTCTAGCCTAGAAACTCAAGTTCTTAAGTCAGAATGTAGTAGGGTGACCAGACAGGAAGTGTAAAAAATCTGGACAGGGGTAGAGTGTAATAAGTGCTTATATAAGACAAAGTCCCAAATATCAGGACTATTCTTACAAAATTAGGACATCTGGTCACCCTAGAAAGCAAAGTCTAGGAAGGTCAAAAAGGGAGGGAAATAGTGCTATAAAGTTCTTCCTACCTGAAAAATCCAGAAAAATAATACTGTGACTCCTTGGAACAGAGGAAAGTTGCAGATAGACTCCTAGTCCAATTTACAAAAGCCCCTAAGCAAATTATCTCTCAATGGACTAGAATAGTAGAATGTTGCTACAGCATTTGAGGTATAGTCAGGTAATACTACTAGAAGCAACACAGAGAATGGGGTTAAAAAACAAAAAAGAAGCTTACCAGCATCTCAGTAAACGAATGAGTCCAGACTTTGTGACACACAAAGGCAATTTTCCCTGAGCCTGAGGGCTGCACCTGATTTGCATATAAATTTGTAGGCAGTTTAAATGCATTCAGCCATAAAATGTGCTTGCTTTTGTATCTCCTTGATAGAAGTATAGAAATTGTTTGCTGGCAGAATAGTAAGATCATCAGCTTTGACTTTACCCTTCAGTTACAGAAAGAGTGAAACCTTACAAGAATAATCCTGGTTTAAATAGTGATAGAATTATCAAAGGCAGTCTTATGGACAACAGACCTTGTAGTTCTGGGGATTCCCAGCATGCATTTACCAGATCACTTAAAGTAAAGAAGATTTCACCCAGAGCTTTCAAGAAGTCAAATGGGATGGGGCAGCCACCAGAATGCATCTTAAGTGGGCTGTACTGAATTCTATCCTTTAAGGGAACAACACACTATATAGAAAAACTAGTCCCAGTCTAGAACAAAATCCCTATATGTGCTGGGCCTTAATATATCCACTATGTGCCGTAAAGTGATTGTAAGCTGTTTGGTATCAGAGAGGTAGCCGTGTTAGTCTGAATCTGCAAAAGTGGCGAGGAGTCCTGTGGCACCTTATAGACTAACTGAAGTGTAGGAGCAGAAGCTTTCGTGGGCAAAGACCCACTTCGTCAGATGCAAGTGTTAGGACAGATGCAAGGTGCATCTGACGAAGTGGGTCTTTGCCCACGAAAGCTTCTGCTCCTACACTTCAGTTAGTCTATAAGGTGCCACAGGATTCCTCGCCGCTTAAGCTGTTTGGGCATTCTGGTGTTCCTAAGGACTGCCTGGCATTGACACCAGCTGGATGTTGCAGGTCTGGTGAAGCTGGGTGTGATGGGGCATGGTGGAAAGGGGGTAGCATGGCTGGAACACTAATGTGCTCCAGTGATTATGGTCTGGCATATTGACCTCTTGTGGGTTCTTACCAGGTGGTATGTATTAGAACAACTCTGAGACTGCTCATGCTGGGGGTTGAACTGAATCCCAGCATCCCTGGGAATTGGATGAGTGCAAAGGTGATACACAGCAATCTTCCCCACTTTTAATGTCATGTCCTGCACCAAGCGCATCTCAACCATCCATCTCAGCTGTCTCGTCTACTGCATAATTTGCTATGTCACCTTCATTCTGAAATCTGATTCCTGTCTCTCATTTGGCTGTGCCAAATTATCCTTCTCAGTTTTAAAGAAACATGTTCTCTGAGCAAGAAGAAGAAGACCAAACGAGAAGAGATGTCAGAGAGGAGAATACAAGAGGAATATGAGAAACTGGGGGATATTAGGTAAAAAGAGCATATTTTCCTGTGGAATTTGCCTTGAATGCATTGGAACTGATCTTTGTTTTCTCCTCCAAGCTGAATTTGTCTTACGTACATTGGACTTGATCTCTCAGTTCTTTCTCCCTATTGAATCAGTCCCGATGTTATAAAAATTGTTTCTCTTTTTTTCAGGGTAGGTATTAAGTTCTCTAAAATAATAAGTCAAATCAAGTGACTTGAATAAAAACAGCTATTTGTTAAGGGCAGGCAGAGGGGAAGGTAAGAAAAGGGCATTAGATACAGACTCGGACCAATACATCTGGACTTGCCCCTACAATTAGGATTCCAAACTAGAAACCCTAGAAATTAGAAAGGGATCTGTTTTCCAATTCCATATCAGATGTGGCAAAGAAAAGCTAATTTTGCAAGGTGTCTACCTCTCAAGATGGGACTTCTCTCCTGAGATCTGCTCTTCTTCAGATTTCTTAGTGTTCAGTTGAAAGTTCATGAGATCAATTTGCAGGATTTTTGCACAATCAAACTTCAATCTAAAACCCAGCGCTTATTCAGCTTCTGAAAATTGAACTTTAAAACCAAATACCAGATCAGAATACTGACGAGTATTCATGTTTGCGGTTCAAGTAGTAATGTTTGTTTATTTTAGTATTTGTAATTATATTTTTCATATGGTTTTAAAAATCACATAGAAAGCTATTTACAGTGCAGAAATGATGGAAAGTCTATCTCACTGCCATATTTCAGGTCCAGAATCATAGAAATTCCATGAGAAGACAAGATTTTGTATTTGCTTGGGCTCATAAATGTCTCATGACAAATGAAAGTATAAACACCAATAGAGATACTCAGCTTTATTATTTTCTGAGGTAACAGCTGGGACTCAAACATAAAACTCTAGTTCAAACTGATCTCCCATTTTATTCTCTTTGTGGAGTTTTTCCTTGTGTATTGAAGCCAATCTCTAATTTCTTTCTCTCTGTTGAATTTTCTCCTGGATTTTGACATTAATCTCAGGTTATATTCTTGCTTTTTCTTCCCACCTCACTTCCCTAGCTATCCCGAGATGGTGACTGGGTTTTTCTTCATCCTGATGACCTTGCTTTGGTTTACTCGGGAGCCTGGCTTTGTTCCAGGCTGGTCATCTTTCTTTGAGAAGTGAGTAAGGTCACCTCCTAATCAGCTGAGAAGAATGAGGTTCTGATTTTCCTGGGTTTCTAAAGCAACTTGGTTGATTGGTTTTTGGCCATAGAATCTCAGGATGCCAGCAGCAATTTTGGTCAAGGCTGGACCAAATTGAATCTTAATCTTAAACTGAGGGGTATTCACTATTTTAACTATACCTGTTGACACAAGCAAAATCATGTCCCTCTGTCTCCAGGTGGCAGGGTGATTCCATTAGCGTATGAGAAACAACATGAGAAAATTGTTCCTGGTAGAATCAAGAGAAGGGTAATTCTGAAATCAGAAGCACAAGTTTAAAAAAAATAAGTTCCAAAAAACATGTTTGCTGCTAGGTCTGTTTGTTGTTATAATTCACAGTTCTGAGGCATGGGGCTTGGTTTCATACTTTAGCACAGGTTGCATCAGAGAACCTGCAGATTGTTTTTAAAGTCATTGTCATTTTCCAGTTCATCCATGCAGACAAACAGTCAGATTTTCTCCCAAAATTTGTTTGGTTTTTGTAAACATAACTCCTTCTGTCACTCTCTGTTCTACCAGGAATACTACAGATGGTTCAGTATTTAAATCCTGAACAGATCTATTGGGTAGATTCATGGACTTTGAGACCTGAAGAAGAACCGTTATTAGTCATTAGAATGCTAAATAATTATTGAAGAATGAGTGAAGCTAGCTAGAGTACACAGGCTCAAATCAAGGGAAAACACCAGTTTATTCCCTTCAGATTTTGGGGCACATTTTCTAAAGGACATCTGCTAGGTTTTCAGTATTTGCAAAATTGCATGCATTGAGCCCTGCATGAATACAAAATTAGTATCTACATCCAATCTGTGATCTTCAAAATTGACTCATCTGTGGGGCTGATTATCACTGGTTATAAAGCAGATATCCATGGATTTCCAGGCTCTATGGGTATGTCTAGACTACATCCCTCTGTCGCCAGAGGGATGTAAATTAGACATCCCGAAATTGCTAATGAAGCGGGAATTTAAATATACTGCACGTCAGTAGAATAAAAATGGCCACCGTTTTTTGCTGACGCAGCACTATGCTGGCAAAAAGCGGCAGTAGACGGGGATCAGTCAACAAGGAAAGCCTTTTCTGACCAATCCTGTAAACCTTGTTGGATGAGGCATAAGGGATTGGTCAGAAAAGGCTTTCCTTGTTGACCGATCTCCATCTACTGCCGCTTTTTGCCAGCAAAGTGCAGCGTCAGCAAAAAGCGGCGGCCCTTTTTATTCTAATGAAGCACGGGGTATTTACATCCCCACTTCATTAGCAATTTTGGTATGTCTAATTTACATCCCTCTGGTGACAGAGGGATGTAGTCTAGACATGCCCTATGTATGTGCACTGATATCTTTCCACACACTCAAAGTGCAAACACAAGGACTTGTGACTGTAAATCTCTAACAACTTTCCATGGATTTATACTTACATTTGTGCAAGTGTTAGAATTTTTTTATGCACATCACATTCTTGTATTTGTGTTGGTGCGGGAATGAGCTGAAATTATGGTTAAAGTATTTCCCTCTATAATATATAGGATAAATATATAGCCTGATAAGTGAAGGAAAGGTACACCAAGCCCAACAACAAAAAATAAACTTGAGTGGCACACTTATTCCCCCATGCCTGCTGTTGAAACCATGAGGTTTTGTATACATACTTCACTACAGTAACTTTTAGTATATAATGTTATTATATAGCCATAATCACAATGTTTCTTTCCTAGGAAAGGCTACCGGACTGATGCTACTGTCTCTGTCTTCCTTGGTTTTCTTCTGTTCCTGATTCCAGCAAAGAGACCATGCTTTGGAAAGAAAGTTAAAGGTAAGGATTCATCTAGAACAGGGTTACTCAACCTGGGGGCCACAGTGATACAGCACATGTGGAGGGCTGCAACTTAAGTGTGGTTGCATATACATGCAAATATATATGCAAATATATGCAAATAATTTCTTTCATACTGATGTGCATGAATACAAAGATTAGGGCAAGACTATACAACATGCAGGCCTCATTTAAGTCAGTTCTGCTGATATTAATAAAATGCAATATTCACCCAATTTCCACCCATATGACAGCACCTTTAATGAGCAATGAGAGTCCAGAAATTTAACTCCTAAAATGTATATCAACAGAAAACCATTATATTGACTCACCGTTGTGAAGCATGTTCCCAGCGGAGGCCATGTTCAAAGGATCCCACCTGTGGGCCGTGTGTTGAGCCCCGTGTAAACCCAAACTGCACTGCAGGCCGCAAACAAATGGGCCGTGGCCACGTGTTCAGTAAACCTGATCTAGAATTAGACTTGCCACAACTTTTTAATAAGAGGATGTAATCCCCATCCTCTTGTTTTATGGCTACATTAAGGTCCCAAAACTTTTCTGTTATAATATAGGATCTTAGTGTGGGAACGGTTGAGAACCTCAGTCTTAAATATTGCTGTTGAGTATGTAGCAATAGTGGATGTATATTAGAACAGGCAAAGAACTCAATCCTTGCCAAATTTCAGGGTTACAAGAACTGGAGAACTGCTTGGTACAAACAAACAAACAAAAGTCTAATGTACTACTAATGATAATGTGGATAGACACCAATCCATTTTAAGTTAACATTACTGATGACAGAGTCTTCTTGAGAGTGGTTATTATTTATAGGTCTCAATCAGGATTGGGGCCTCTCTGTGCTATGCATTGTACAATCATATGAAGACATGGTCCTTTGACATTTGTTTCCATATTTTACTTAGAAATTACATGTATGTATTTTACATTGCAAATCTCCATATAGGTATATACAGCATTTAGGGGAAAACCAATTAACAAGTCTAATTTAACAAAAGACTCAGACTTCTAAAAACTAATACTGCCACCAGGAAAAGCCTGAGAAAATAGATGGGCCTTGTATATTGTCCTAAAATGAAACACAGTTGGACTCAGTTTGGCCAGGAGAAATGGATTCTTTCTACAAATGAAGCCCCTTTTCTGAGACTGTCCAACTGTCAAAACCCTGACTGTTTTTACACACACAGAGACATTTTTCAAATACATGTGCATACACACACACTTCTCAAATAGCCATTCCCTAAACCATAGGACTATATAACCATCAATGTCAACTCCAGACACCTATGGGAATCCAGTCCAGCCGTCAGAGAATTTAGGCACTATGCTTCCTGAGGCTGACACACCATGGAGGTTGGCAGCTGCATTCTGCACCTGCTTTATCCTAAAGATGTTCTTCAAAAGGTAACCCTACAGAGAGTGCATTTGAGTAATTCTACCTAGAGATCACAAAGTTAGAGGTCAGTGTTAAATGCTCCATATCTTACAGAAATGGCTGGTTTAGCATTAGCTATGTACCTTTGTTTTGCTTTAACATAGAAGATGGTGAAAATTCTACAGACATTAATTCAATGGAGCCAATAATTACATGGAAGGACTTCCAGAAGACTATGCCCTGGGAGATTGTTGTGCTGGTTGGAGGAGGTTATGCTCTAGCGGCTGGATGTAAGGTATTGAGTTAGAGAATATCTAAAATACTTACAAGCTTGAACTGTTATTTTAACCTGTGATGTTCTGGCAATTCTGGTAACAAAATTACTATGACACTTTCAAAAAAATACACCACCTAAATCTGTGAGATGTTCTTCTGAAAGTTGTTCACCTAACACAGTAAAGCAACTTGCTATGCGTTCTCTTTCTTGATGACTGGGAAGTAGCAAACAAGAGTTACAAAAAAACCCAGTCATCTACTTTGATACAGTGTTACCATTGAAAACACTGCTTCAGCCTTCATGCCCACATACAAGTATCTACTGGTTTTGGTGATGGTAGGGACTAAAACAAAATAAGTACAAATGAATCGAATTAGATTAACAATCCTTGGAACCCGGATTTGCAGAACTACAGCACAGGAAATGTCAGCACCGTTATTTTTATAGTAGCACCCCAGACAGCCCCCAGTCTGAGTTTGGGTCCCATTATACTAAGTGCTATAAAACATATATGTAGACATGGTCCCTGTAAACTTTCCCCACACAGTGAGCCTCAGTTCTGACCGGGAAGGACAACCTTCACAAGTGAGGGGGAAGTACAGTCCTTCTGTCCATTCAGTTTTGGTCTCTCTTCTAACTGGCTAGTAGTGCCATTTAGTGCCAAACAGGACTGCCAACAGAACTGCCATTCCCCTTGGCAAGGGGGTGGGAAGCCAGCTCTGGGACCCTGGGAAGGACCTCGGGTGAGGCTGGAGGCTAGCCTTCCTGAGCCAGCCCTTCAGCACTGCCTGCCCCATACCTCCCAGGGCTCTGGCCACTGCCATGGTAACAGCCATAGTCAAGAGCCCTGGTTCTTTTAAAATTGCTGAGCCATGCAACAACTGCCCCTTTTGTCCTCCTCCCCCACCATCAGGAGCTCTGGTACCAAATGAGTTTTGGACATTTAGCTACAATAGAACCTCAGGTGTGAACTGACTGGTCAACCACACACCTCATTTGAAAACTGGAGTATACAATCAGGCCATAGCAGAGACAAAAAACAGAGGTGGGGGACGGGGAGAGAGGAGGAAGCAGAGTACAAACACTGTGTTAAATGTAAACTACTAAAAATAAAGGGAAAGTGTTTCTTTTTTTAAATGGTGTCCCTAACCTCTGTTTGTCAGAGGGTGGAGATGGATGGCAAGAGAGAGATCACTTGATCATTACCTGTCCGATTCACTCCCTCTGGGACACCTGGCATTGGCCACTGTTGGCAGACAGGGAACTGGGCTGGATGGACATTTGGTCTGACCCAGTATTGCCATTCTTATGTTCGTATGACATGGTAAGGCAACTGCGTGCTAGTTTAAATTAATTAAGAGGGTTAAAAGAAGCATTTTTCTTTAGCAAAGTTTCAAAGCTGTATTAAGTCAGTGTTCAGTTATAAAATTTTGGAAGACCAACCGTCACCTTATATGCACAGTTACAAACACTTCATAGTTACAAACAACCTCCATTCCCAAGGTGTTAGTAATTCTGAGATTCTACCGTGCACTAGGAATAGGATTGAAAGCACTAATTTAATGAACGTGAGCTACTAAATAGGAGCTGTCCAATTTAATGAACAAAAGTTCTTAGCAGTGGGTTAATCCATTGCAAACTCTCAGATACAAGGATTTGGATTTGAAACTTAACTTATATCGGCCATTATCTCATTCTCATTTGTTTCTTCCAGACCTCTGGCCTTTCAACATGGATTGGGCGTCAGATGTTGTCCTTGAGCAGTCTTCCCTACTGGGCTGTCACTCTGCTGGCTTGCATGTTGGTGTCCATGGTAACAGAGTTTGTTAGTAACCCAGCAACCATAACTATCTTTCTGCCTATTTTATGCAGTATGGTGAGTAAAAACAATGGATTTTATGCTGTTTTTTTTTTCTTTTAGGCTTCATGGAATATCTTAAGACTTTAGGCTATTGGTTCTGTGAGCCAAGATAAAACTGCTTCATTTTGGGTGCCACTGCTTTGCTCTTTCTTTTACAGAAGCATTAATAAGCATAGTCAGCCATCAGGCCTACATGCAGTATTTTTTGAACTCCCAGAAATGCACTCAGCACTTCTCAAAACAAATAAAAGCATATTCCCTGCCCTGAGGGGCATACACTTTACGTGTGTCAGAAAGGAGGAAAGGGAAATGAGAAAAGGAAGGACAAGTCAGACAGTAATAAGATCATATAATTACTCAGCAAAGCATGTACATGTCTTGAATCTTTCTAAATTCTGTTTTGTATTTACAGTTCATTAGTTAAGAGTCCTCATTTTTTTTCTGGCAGAAACATAGAAGATTTATTTGAGGGGTGGGAAGTGAGTTGGTAAACAATATGGCAGGACAAGAACAAGGACAAGTATGGAAGAATGAACAGAGACACTTGTGAGAGAGGAAGACATTGTAGGCTTGTTTCACTAGCAGAATATGTGTGTGTGGGGGGAGGGCAAACAATAATTATACCCTATTTTAGTACAGGCAGTCCCCGACTTACGCGGATCCGACTTATGTCGGATCCGCAGTTACGAACGGGGCTGCCCCGGGAGGACACGGACTGCGGGACCTTGCGGTCCTGCCGCCCGTGTACTCTGGGGCTTTCTCCGCGTCTCCCTGGTCTGCAGACCAGGAAGACACGGAGCAAAGCCGCGGG